CCGCCCCGCCAGCGGGTGCCAGCGCTCGTCAGAAACAGGGCGCTCGTTCAGACCACAGGGACGTTTGAACGCCCGGCCATTATAAAATAGCAGCTGGTGTTTAACCTCCCCCCCGTCGTCGTCCTCCTCTGTCGGCAGTCCGCGTGTATTCTGCTTTCCTGAGTAACGAGAACCTCTTCCCGTCTGTAAGAAGAAAGCGGACTTGTCTCTGCATGACTGTTAGATTAATTTTCTACTGTACTGCCTTAAGCTGACTTTAGGCCTTCCAAGTGGCCAACCACCCCATGCTATTTAATCCATGCTTTATTTAGCAGAAGTGTTACCCTGGAAGAAGTAAAAATAACATCTGTAATCAGTGAGAACATTAAATTCAGTTTTTACATCTAAAATCTTCAACATCTTCTGCAGGCTAAAAGATTCAGTAAATGTCTTTAGTACCTTATTGTTGGTTTGCATAACTGAGAATACTGGTTTTAATTAGTTCTCGGTATGGCAAACAGGAGTAACTTTTTTTTTTTATTTTGGTAAAAAGAAACATACCTTGCCCACTTTGTGATAGTGCTGTAAGTAGTTTGTAGATGCCAGTGGTTTCTTAACTAATTTCCTCTGTATTACCTCATCATCTATCACATTGTCTACATTTTGTCAAGCACATAAAATTAAAAAAACCCCAAGGGTCATTCCAAGATTAGCAAACATGCTTAGAGTAGCTTTTATCCGAGTACTAAGGAGAGAACCTTCGACGTAGCCTGCTCCTCCTCATGTAGTTATCCACTGAACTACCTATGCACACCCTTTGGCTTAATCATCTGATATACAAACTATCCCGGTTTTAATTACTGGATTCCATACAATTGGGTCAATAGGTTTTCCAGTCACACCTATACTTAGAAGTGTAGTGAAACAAGTCTGAAGGAAGCACTGTATGTTAATAAAATATGAACCACCAAGTTCCATGCTTGTAACATGTTGAGATTTTCCTTGCCAATGCCTTCGTCATAAAGCTTTAGATGATGTATCTGTATCAACTGAAATAAAACTTCATTTTAGACTTCACTTAGACTACTATTAGTCTAAATAGTTTTTCTACCCACACAATCTAATGTGAGATTCTGAATGGTAAGGAACTGCAGTTAGCACTTGTGCTTCAGTTGAGTTTTACTTCATTTTAAGTTCCTATTTCAGAACACCAGAAGCAGAAGGGATGTGTACAAAAAACATAGTTTAGCCATCAAAACCTACGTAAGCTGCAATCAACTGAGTGCTGTATCTCATTGCTGTAGCTCTCATCCTTCTTGGCACTATTCTCATCCTATTAACTTCAGAAGATACTGTACTTAAGTTACCCTACAATAGTCTTTTTATAGTAGGGTGAGGTTTCATGAGTTAGCTGAGCCAAGCTAACTTTCTGCTAAAAGAAACAGCTTTATTTATTCATTCAGGAAACTAAGGAGTCTTGAACTGGCTCCTCATTTCTCCTTAATAAACTTGGCATAAACCTAACCAAGCATTCAAGAAAATCTTTGCCACTTTATTAAGCTGAATTAGCCTGCTTGGGGCAGGGGTGCAATGTCAAAAGCCCCACATCTGGGAGGAAGAAAACTGTGAGATCATGTGGTGACAGCTATTAAGACAGCTCACTTACTCAGGAGATCTCACTCCAAACAGTAGTAACTATATTGTCCCTATCAAAATGACCTAACATACAGGAGAATAATCGACCACACAAGGAACAGGACAGGGAACAGGGTAGGTGTTAGTTCTGAAAGTATAGGAGGGCAGAAATTAAGAATGCAACCATGAACCAACAGTGTTTACCGTTGCAGAAAAAAAGGCAAGTTGGCAAATATTCAAGAAGGGAAAGATTCTACTGTGTATGAATGACACTGATAAGGCACGACCTAAAGCACAGTACCTGTAGATACTCTAGAGACCAGCCAGAAGACATCATGCAAATGTCAATTTAAAATATCAGGGTTGCTTCATATAACAAATAGAAAATGAATTTATGACTGCTTGCACATCCCTAGGGGATATTAAGCAGAGCAATAGTTTTCACATTCCTTTTTCCAACACCTAAGACTCAGATGAAGCATATAATCTATTTTACTGATTTCCAAGGGTAAACAAGATATCTTGGATTAAGTTTTATGAATGATTTTTCATGTGGAGCTCTGTAAAATTACTGAGTTTATATAAACCATCTTGTTAAGATGAGGCAGACAGAACTAAGGATTTTTCAGATGAGATAAGACAGTAACACTTAGCATTTAAGTCATTAACATCTACATTAGTATAGTAGAAATCAAATGCAATACTTCCTACATTTCTGTTTTAATTTATAAGCCAGGGAGTTATTGACAGTTATTATTAACTCTGCTGATTATCATTAAGTTATTAAAACATCTTGCCAATCAAGTCACACAGTTACCTTCCTCACTACTGTACTCCCAATTCCTATTCTATCTTTTATCACCAGATTTCTTCTCAAAAAAGAATCCACAAACCAAAACAAATAGCCTTTCAGTTACCTAGGATTCAACAATGAGCAAAGCAACAGGTCATACTGCGTTACAATTATTTCATAGTTGTACTGGGTCAGGCTGAGTTGGAGTTAATCTTCCCCACAGCAGCCCTCATAGTGCTGTGCTTTGTACTGGTAGCCAGAAAGGCATTGGTAACACACCAGTGTTTTGGCTACTGCTGAGCAGCGCTCGCACAGCATCAAGGCTGTCTCTCCAACATTTTCCCCGCCTCACGAGTAGGCTGGGGGTGGGCAAGATCTTGGGAGGGGACATAGCCAGGACCGCTGACCCAAACTGAACAAAGGGAGATTCCATACCATACGACATCAGCTCAGCAATAAAAGCTAAGAGAAAGGAGGAGGAAGGTGGGGGCATTCGTTATTTACATTCGTCTTCCACAGCGACCCCTACACGTACCTAAGCCCTGCTTCCCAGGAAGTGGCTAGACATCGCCGGCTGATGGGAAGCAGAGAATAAAATCAGTGTTTTCCTTTTGCTTCCGTGCGCAGCCTTTGCTTTTACTTTTTTTATTAAACTGCCTTTATCTTGACCCACGAGTGTTTTTTTTCCACCTCATTTTCTCCCCACCTGTCCTGCTGAGGAGGGGAGTGACAGAGCAGCTTGGTGGCACCTGGCATCCCGCCAAGGTCAACCCACCAAAGTAGTTTGCACCAATGTTTTATTTGGAAGTGAATTACAATGCCAGTACACTATTCAATAGTCACATAATGAAGACTTAGTAGGACTTAAGTGCTACTTGAACCACAGTAAGAGAGGGCAGAGGGTTTTTTCCTTGTTGGAAGGAACGACAAGATTTCAAAACTTGACATTTTACACTCTTCGTAACAGGTGGAACAGCGTAAAATCAAGTAATTTGTGTAACATATGTAAATGTTACATGTTTTCCTGCTATTTACAAGTATCATTTCAGTAACCATCACTGGTTTTGAGGGCAGATCAAAACATCTACTAGTAGGAAACTGTTGTTTCAGATACTCTTTTTTATTAAATTCCTAATGCAGAACGTACAGAGCACATAAGTTAAACACAGCCCCAGACTTTCACTGAAACAAGAATTATGAGCAAGTTCTTTATAGTGTTGGAAGAGACAAGAAGGATCACTGTGAGTTAGCAACTGTGAGACCTCTTACCTTGGCTGTCAATCAGCAGCCAGAAGCTGAAAGACTGAATTCTTTCTGCTGGACTGATTTATTGCCTCCACAGAGTTTCTTGTTCCAGGCAAGGCTGTTGCAGGCTGCTCCTTAAAGAGTTTTGCTTGGCATAATATAAGTAAGATTAAGACTTTCATAAACATGCTACTACTCAAGTCAAAGTTAGTCTGACATTTTATTTTCTAGTATACAAGATAAGGCATGAAGCCTTCAGGATCTTTTGAGTTCATAAAAAAATTCTTAAGTTTTTTTCTCCTTGTTGAAAATCATTGTAACACAGGAATTTTTTGTTGTTGTTAGTTTACATCTAAACAGTGTGAGATGCAGTGAATTTCTGGTCACATATCTTTTGAGAGTGTTTGAGGAAATATTAACATAATCAGTGCTCAATAGGAGAATCTGTGTAAGCACTCTTCCAAGAGATGGTTGAGTATTCCTAATTGGAAGCAAATTGCAGTGGCATCACAGGACAAGAAGGAGTTCAAGGACATTGAGGTCCCAGGGGATAGTTTTAGAGGAGACTCTGAAAACAACTCCATTAAGCGAGAATTTCACAAACACTGTTACAGATTTTCTCCAGGGGACTGAAAGTGTGCATCTCCTATCTAAGAACTAAGTAAGAGTCACCATGTGGTTAGGATTCAAAATTTCAATCCAGTAGCCATCAGGATCCTGAACAAATGCAAGTCCTTTCATTTTACCTATTAGAAAAAAAAAAAAAAAAGATAAAGTTAAAACTACATGACTAATTCTTAATGTCAAATATGACTACTTCGAAAAGTTTTACCTTTTTTTCCCTTTTGCATGAGAATTAGTTCAAATTTAGACAGCTAATTCTGAAAACACCCACATTAGTTTTTAATCAGCATTAGATCTTTGTATGCTAAATTGTCAATCTTACTCTCAACAAAGCTGTAGTTTAAAGTCACTTTTGAATTCTATCTTTTATTGATTGAAGTAAGTTTTCTGCATATGGCCCTGTAAGTATTCATCCTCTAAATTCAGAAAATTTTTTTTGTGCTCCAGGATTTTTTGACTTATTTTCTTGAACTGGTTTTGGCAGTATAAAATCCTGTGTTCCTCTGCCCTATTCATCTCCCATTATTCCTGCCTCCACACTGAAGTTTTAGGTTACTGGTTTTTGTTTGTTTTTCCCCCCCGATGTGGTTTACAGTACACATTTGCATCACTTCATAAAACAGAGAAATGCAGGGCAGGAATGTTTTAAATTTCACTGTTGGGAAAAAAATATAACTCATTAAAACAGGGTCCCCAAAAGTTGTCTTCAACAGTAGATTAGGATAGCACAGCTTAACATGTTATCTTAAAGTGTTAACCACACACTTTTAATTATACTTGCTCTATTAGGCTATTTATTGTAACAGAACCATCCTAATTCTTAATATATTCTAGTTACAAAAAACTTCTGAGAGAATACTAGATATTTGATTCAGTAACGCAGGGAAAAAAATAACATTAGGTCTCTCAGCCTGCTCCACAAACAATGAATGTGAAGTCCAAAGCTTCTTCCTCCTCCTTGGCATTTGCTGCATCAGTTTTATTTCTTAATGTTAAAAAACAGCCTTTGCTCTCCACCTGCCCCAGACTGCTTCAAGAGTTCTTTCCTGTGATTTATTCCATTTACAGTCTTAGCTTCCCTCCCCTCCTACAAACTTAGAGCTGTGCAGTGGCACAAAATCAAAGTCAGGAGCTCTTTCTTCAACTCTCTCAAGGTTCACCAGGTGCTGAACAAATTAAAAAGGGCTCAGAAACTCTAAAATGCTAGAAATACTAAGTTCAATTCTTGTATCAATACATCTGTGTTCAAATTAAGTTTTCAGCTGCACTTCTTACATTTGCTTCAGCTGAGAACACAGTGAGTAAGATGAAAATCACGTAAGTCTCTTTTCAATTACTTGTTCTTATTCCTCTAGCAAGGAATCTAGATCAATTCCAATATAGGTAAACTGAAGCTTCAGGTACTGATGTTACTTTCAAACTAAAAAAAAACCCCACAGTTAGTACAGGCAACAGTCTAGTTTCTACAGCCAGAAGGAAGAAGTAGTATAACAAATTTGTGCACACTGCTGAGTATTAGATGTCCATTTTGGAATGCATCAGTCCTAAAACTCTCATGATGTCTCTTCAGGAAAGAGAATCCAGTTGAGAAATGCAAGACTTCTCACCACTGACTTCTGCATTTTAGGCTATTTTAACATAGACATTCTTTGTTTGTGTACTCTCTAGACATTGGAGCTACACGTTATGCATTTTTTAGTAAAAGTTATAAAATATTATCTAGACTAATGAAGCTATTTTTACCAAAGCTGACAGAACAGTTGAAATTATAATAGCTAATAGATGGCATTAGGTGGATTCAAATAAAAATGGCCAGAAAAGTCAAGAATTACTCAGTTTTAATGGGTGGGAGTAATTATGTCTTCTGAGTCATTTTCATATGATAAAAACCAAACAGATATGAAATGTGGGAATTTGATCCATGTTAAAGTAAATTCTGTAATAACTCTAGGCAGTAGTATCCATAATAAACTGTAACATCAACAGAGCACATGAATTGTAGTGAAGGTCAGACTACATACATAAGGCACGCAGCTGGACTGATTAACTGTTGTTACCGAGATGGATCTATTGTCAGTGTTGCCCTCCAGCACCTTCTAAGCAGCGACAACTACTAGAAACGTATTACCCAGCTTTCCAGGAAGACCTACTAGGCAGAATATATTAAAAACAAGGTAAAAAAGTGACCTGCATTTCTGATCAAGACTTACCATCATCTGGTTTCTTCACAAATTTCACTCCTAGTTCTTCAAACCTCTTACAAGCTTTATGGACATCAGGAACAGCAATTCCAATGTGTCCTGTGCAACAAGGTAAAAAGAGCGAAGTACACTAAGTATTATTAGGTGCTCTAGGAAGTTTTACACGCTGTAGTTCACGTAAGATATGATTGTATACAAGAAAAACACTGCTTCCAGAAAGAAAGCATTTTGGGTATTAACATTATTCCCCTTCAGAAAGTTGGCTTTTTGATAATGTCTTTTAAAATAGGAACTTTAGGGTTAAAATATCTCATATTGTTTAGATGAGACTACTACCTAGAGTGGGAAAAAATAAGATTTTCAATCAAACTCTTTTATCTGTGTTTCCTTTCTTGAAGTATATCCACATAACAGGATTTTGTTGCATTTCCTCAGTTCAATGGTACAAGGAGTTTATCATTAATGCTGTATTTGTAGAAACTAACACTAGCACTATGCAAGGCCTGAGCCTACAAATCAATTCAGAAGCTTTAAATGTCAAGTGGCTAGACTGAGTATGAAACTTAGTTCACAAGCCAGTGACCTTTCAAGCACTCAAAATATCAGAGCCACACAAATACTATTCTCAGTACTACAAACAGAATTCTCCTTCTAGCTTAAAATGGGTAACCAGTGGATTATAAAATAGAAATCCAAATGTAAATCAGTCTAAACACCATGATAATCTGATACACAAAAGCAATTACTGTTCTTCATTCAGTAGTTACTATTAGCATATCGCCAAAGCATTAGATTCTTTATAGAAAGTGTAACTGTGGCTCATTACTCTGAAACAAATTTGTTTACCTATTTTCACAATCTTTCACAGCATACATGCTGGAAGAAGAGAGATAAAGGATGAGATGCAAGTTCCCTTCTTTCCTAGTCCTAGTATGCTTCCTTCAAAGTAACCTACTAGAAAAGTCTTTTCATCCACACAAGTTTTTAAAATATTTTCTCTACTAGCTCTCATAAAAGTAAAGCCTACAGTATATACTTACCCAATAACTTTTGCACAGAATTTATATAGATATTTTCTAAAAAACATTTGAAACTCCATTTTTCCCCAATACACGAGAGAAAAAATGTAATTACAATAAACCAAAGCTTAAAAACTACAAACACAAAACTAAAGACCTACCAAATCCTCGGGGATCTGAATTGCCATTGTGGTAAGACTGATTTTCATCATTTTCAGTGCCCCAGTTGCTGTAAGAAGTAATTTTTTACATATTGAAGAAAAGCAATGAAATCAACAAATCCTAAATGTTCATCAGTTTCCTCAGGATAGGTTGTTTCTCCTAAGAAATCAGAGAATTTCAGCTGTTGGCTGCATTCATTAAACTATCAAGATTTTCCCTAGTCACAGGCCCTAGGGATAGTCTCAGGGCTAATCCAGTCACGTTCACAGCCCTTCACAAGCATTCAGGTTCTACATTTGAATGAGTCAGAGACACTCCTGTCTCATGCAGATTAGAGAGAAGGTTGCACTGCACAGGTCAGTTTATTTACCCATCACTGGGGAACAAACAGTGAGGGTAGCAGGTCCTGAAGCCAAGCAAGACAGTGGGGTATTTGGGAGATTCTTTCTGCACAACTACAATGATTAGTAGCATTAACCAAATCGTCCTGTTTACGGGAAGTGTCTGTTTTGACTTAATACTTCTTTTGATTAGATTCCAAAAGCAACAGTTATCCATTATTATGATGCTCTGGGGATCCAAAGGAAGTTCTAACCACATTGGGTTTTCCTAAATTCTGTGGCTTCCCTACCCCAGATGGCATGCATACTCAAAATACAGCAAGCATTATTTCGTGTTTGTGTTCCACTGTTCACCTAGCAGTTTGAAAGAGCTCTGGAAAGAGAAAGATTAAGCTTGCCAAGTATCTAAGATCTCAGTCCTATTTTAAGGCTATATGACAGTGAAGATGTTTCCACAGTAATGATTTCATTTTTTATTCAGTCCAACAGGGTTTACACTCATCCACTTGTGTTTAATCACTGTTAGCTAAATGTCATCTCTCATTGTATTAATACTTACTGTGTCAGTTCAAGTGTAGCTTTCCTAGAGAAGGTCCAGGCTGTTCTCTCAGTTTTATCTTTCGGGATATCATTTTTATCTTCATACGCCAGGAAATAGAGTGAGAACTTCATGGTAGGAAAGTCAAATTTTTGAAGCAGTCTAAATGGCAACAATTATTTTGAAATAGTAACTTTAAAAGGTCATCAGGTAGCTTGCAAATAAACCAAGATGCTTCCCCCAAGGAAGAGCTATTGCTGTGATTTTTTTGCTTGACTGTAATCCAAATCTTAAAATAGCTAGAGTTTGGACTATCACACAGAAACATTCCAGAACACATTACACACCTACAAAAATGGGAAGAATCAGATGCTTAGAAGCCAAACTATCAGTAACTGAATAGCAAAGCCAGTACAAAGGCTCAAGTCCTGAGGTTGCCACTCTGTTACTTGGCTGAATTTCCTCAGGAAGATGTTTATGTTTATCCACTTTAAAGTATCACCAAGGAATAAAAAGATTTACTTTGAAACGTATTTGTTCTGGGGAGCTCACTGGCACCAGACAAAAGTTTAAGAACACAGCAGGACTAAAAAACAAACATATTTTTAGGTGAAATATTTTTATGATTTCAATAGCTAGGTATAATGATAAAAACCATTTCAAATGTGGCAATTTAATCAACTAAAAAAGACTTGAGGTGAGAAAAAGCTGTTTTATAAAATTTATCCCTTTACTAGATGCAAGCAGTCACCCAATTCCCTGTGAAATATTTGATACATCTCTATTTTCACCTAATTTCCAGAGATGGTGTGGCATACTTCAAACCATTTTTACGTAGGATGTTTTAACTTACTAGGTATTTAATTTTCATTTTCTTACACCCACATTCTTACTTCCACATTAAAGTAGTTTATTTTAGTCTGGACTCATTTCAAGATGTTTAAAAATATGCTAGAATTTTGTTTTGAAATAACTCATTTCAAATGTCAAGAATGTGCACAGAGCCTTGGCATAAAAACGTTAGGCTACTGCAGGGCATCTGCCTCCCAACAGCCTTCTCCAAAAGACTTGGACCTCGTCTCCAGCTTCCATTGCCTTGGTCTATTATGACCAGAGGTGGTCATAAGCCACCTCTGAGAATCATAGAATAGAATCATAGAATCGTTTAGGTTGGAAAAGACCTTTAAGATCATCTAGTCCAAAACCTAACACTACCAAATCCACCACTAAACCAATTAAGGGGAGACTAGCAATTTCATGTTTCCTGGCTTGGTGGCTGGATTATTTTTTAATGAAAGTAAAACTAGGAATCACTAAGGTTGGAAAGGACCTCTAAGATCATCAGTCCAACCGTCAACCCAACACCACCATGCCCACTAAACATGTCCCAAAGTGCCACATCTACCCATTTTTTGAACACCTCCAGGGATGGTGACTCCACCACCTCTCTGGGCAGCCTGTTCCAATGCTTGACCACTCTTTCAGTAAAGAAATTTCTCCTAATATCCAATCTAAACCTGACACAACTTGAGGCCATTTCCTCTCATCCTAAAACTAGCAGAAAAATAATTTCCAGATTTATAGCAATGACTCCTAGTTCTAAGCACTGTCATAAACGTTACCAGTTAGCTGCAGGCTCAGTGAGGAGGATGTAAACAAGTTGTACACTGATAATTAATGATCTACTTAAGAAAAAAAAAAGAAATTTCTAGTCAAGGCCACTATTAGTTCATTTGCAGCTTAGGCATTAACTGTGCTGTGGGAGTTCTCAGAGATTGCCAGACTGTCCAACTGGGCATCAGCTGATGGGTCAGCACTGTTTATGTAGTTAGACCAATTAGTATAATCACATCAAAATAACAAAAACTTTCCAGCAGAACAGTAGGAAAAACCAAACTTATTGTGGCATACAACTTCTACTCACGTCATTCCAAGCACTCTTGTATAAAAATCCAGTGACTTCTTAGGATCCTTTACTCTTAACATTGTCTGCTGCAACAAAAAATCCTGTGGGGGGAAAAAAAAGGCTTATTATTTACACATCAAACAGAATTTAATTATGGCTATTAACAAAGATGCCAGTTAATAATGAATCTAAACCTAGCAGGTTTAGAAGTTATTAACAAATAGAGTAGTACACTAAATGTAAATAAAATCTGATCCTACACATACAGATTTGTGTTAAATAAATACATCTTTGTAACGTAAGTTTAAAACAAATAAACAATACCACCACTGGTATCACTCAGTATATATTATCAGTGATATCCAAAAAAGGGTATCATTCTTATCTTTATTATTCTTTTACGGAGCTGTACTGCTTTTTTCCGCTTTGCATGCAAGCACACGAGGCACGTGAGTATCTGATATTGGGCCTCACTGCAGACACAGAACTTAAATAAAGCTAAACTCTGGAACTCATTACATTTATTATTTCGTTGCACAGGTGTTGAATTTCTGTCAAGCTTGATGGTATCTTGGCAGCAAAACCGGCCTGTAATTCCGAAAGGGTATTTCCCTCAAGCCGCAGGGTAACTTTATATACCAAGGGCTAATAAAGAACTAAGTGGATGAAAAGTGAATGGTAGAACAGCCTTGACAGATATTTACAAAAA